AAACATGTTCCATAGCTTCCTGTACCCTTTGGTGTCATGTTCTTGGGTGACACAGTAACTATAGGCTTGGAGGGTCCCACTGCATATACGCCCACACTGCTACTGTTCCACTTTGGTGTTGAATTATATTGTCTAGATTGATTTGGAGTACCTTTGGTACTCTGTGGTTTACTATTATTGGTTTCTGAGGGTTTACTTGGTGGTTTTAATTTGTCATGTGTTCGTAATTGATGAACTACTGACTTTAAACCTTCAGATATTTCATTCATGGATAAGATACTTTTATTGTAATGAGCACTCATTTGTCTCAATATGTCCCTAGGTATTTTCTCCTGGACAATTATTTTCAAGACCCACTCAGCCCCGTTTGTATCTGCTGTCAGGCTGAGGGCGTTGATCAATGATTCTACCTCCAGCTTGAAGACTTGGAGTGAATCAGCTGAAGCCTCCGGTGGGGGTAAATGCAACAGCTCATGAACTAAATGTGATGTTCTTACTTCTGGATCAGCATAATTATCCTTGAGGAGTTTTACTGCCAGATCATAGCCATCATTAGTTAATCTCAGATGGGATACTACTGTTTTAGCCTCACCTGATAATTGACCTTGCAAATAAGAGAATTTACTACTCTTTGGTAAAGATTGTTTTGAGTCTACAAGGTCAACGAATTTGTTCCAAAATTCATCCCAATCTTCCTCATCTTTTCCTGAGAAAGTGGGTAAATTAATTGGAGGGAGTCGAGCTTCTGCTTGACTCGTATTAGATGCAACTGTTGTTGTTGTTGCTGTTGCCTTGTTCTGGGCAACTAATTTGACATAAGGCTGTAACGTGGCCTGAGTGTGATCTTCATAATTCGCAAGATCAACCATAATGTCGTCTATTTCTGTTTCTGATAAATTAGTGTTGGCAAGTTCAGCCACATATGTTGCTATTTGACATTTGATTTGCTCAAATTTACCTGCAGCTGCTTGATAATAGCTTTCCAGGTCAGCATAATCAACTGTTGATTGTTGTGACAAATCTTCACATTTCTTGATCTGTCTTGTTAAGTGGCCTTTAAGACCTGCAAGGGTTCTTTTCATTCTCCCTGCATTATCCATACTGGCTCGTTGGTGAAGCCTTGTGGGACTTGTACTTGGGCTGCTCCTAATACTGAACAAGCACTGATGGTAGCCTAGGGTAAATTCTGAACTCACTAGGCAATAATCCTACCTCTACTAGAGGTTAGCACTTAAAATTAATACACATTATATATATACAATCATCCACACTAATGATTTGAGTGATAAACCAGTGTCACTGGAAGTACCTTTAGGTTAGCTCTTCTATATCACCCTAGGATGGTAGAGACACTAATTAATCACTCAAAGGTGTAATGATCATAAGTAAATTATTATATATACAACTCAATTCGAGTTGATAAAAATTACACCCAAAATAGGGTCTGCACCATTCATTAATGGTGTTAGGTTATTCAATATAGTACAACTGACTATGGTAATAATGGGACTAGGATGAACGATAATAGATCAACTAGTCATATCCTACCCTGTTGTGGGTTGGCAATTAGTAAATATTATATTGAGAACACTAGTGCAATTTATATTAAATGATTCTCTATTTTGGAGAAATAATATACACAATTATTGATAATAGCCTCTTAATTAGCCTCTATGAAACTTCTAATATTATCTAGAAGTATTAAATATTATTAGTGACCTCGCGAAATAAAGTCCACAAATTCGTAGATAATCTCTCGCGAAATGTAACACCACGAAATCCGTGAACAATCTCGCGAAGACACAGTCACTAATTTGGCTGGATTCTATATTAGCGCTGTCATTTCACGAAATAACACGCCACCAAATATCTGTGGGTGTGCATGAAACCGCTGACTAAGGCTGAACTGGGCTGAGGGAGGCTCTTGAGCTCCCACGAGGCTTCGCCGCTGTCTTGACTGGCTGGCTTTGTTTAAATAACACTGCACTAGTATATTTAATGAATCCACTGGATAACTGGTTCATCCGGTACTAAGATGACCAAATGTGGGTTCAAAGGACCGAATATTCCGGTTCCGAAGGTCCAAATAATGTGGGAACCGACCTGTGAGATTTATATTTGTTTAATTTATATGAATTTATATTTACGTTAATTTATATACTTCGATAGCAATTTGTATAATGTTAAGTGGACTGTATTTCTGCAATAATCTCAATCTCACAAATCGATCCTCTACACATTAGGGGGGGTTAAATTAATATATATGCAGCCAATCAAACTACAGTAATAGACTACATACTATTAAACATTGAAGAGGTTCCTTATCTTATAGTACAGCAGGTTAGTCCACCAGGTATAACTAGGGTGAAGACACCAAATTATCCTCTTTGAGGTAGCTTCCATATCACCCAGTAACTGGTGCACAATCTTGCATCCTCGTCTTGACCTGTCAAAAGTGCGCTAGCTGTGAAGCCAGATACCTATATATGACAAGTATATCAGAGAAAACAGTACATGGAACATGAAGACCTGGCTTAATTACCTTTAGTTTGAGGCGATTTCGCGTTCTAACCGGCTAACCCTATATCCTGACATTAATGGTCATAAATGAATGATAAACGGGTTTCGGATAGACACTTAACTTGTATTTGTAGACAGCGTGTTGACAATGGTACACCTTTGGGTTCCATAACACTACGTCCAAGTAAATTTAACAGGAGCCGAATTTGCTCCCGTGTGAGCCTCTGGTCTCAATAAACAATGGCTGCCCTCCTCCTCCCTCTGACGCCTGGCTTACATTGTCCAGATTTCAGAACATGATAGAAGGGTCACATTTACTCTACTTTAATATTGATAATTAAGTTAATTTATATAAGATGTTTTTATGATGGTAAAGTCCAAAGACTAATGTATTTAAGAACAATTCCCAGCAGAATAGCTGGTGAATTATAATAGTATGTGGTGATGATATCCCGTTTTCTATAGACGGTAATTCCACTACAAGTTACGTTTTCTATGGGTAACTTGTTGGTAATACAGCAACAAATATTATCTGTCTGTATGATATATTAAATGGTGTCGGATTTTCCGACACTGAACACCGGGATGAACATCTCCTTCTGGTGAGTGGGAGGGGGCTGTAGGTGTGGGCTGTAGGTGTGGGCTGTAGGTGTGGCCACTCAAGCTGCAGGTGTGGACACTCTAGCTGCAGGTGTGGACACTGTAGCTGCATGTGTGGACACTCTAGCTGCAGGTGTGGCCACTCGAGCTGCAGGTGTGGCCACTCTAGCTGCATGTGTGGGCTGCAGGTGCCAGAAAAAGATTCACTGTCGTTTGCGGAAAGTTAAAGAGAAAATGAGAAGCGTTGTTGGTCATGTATCGCCTGTCATACACACCTGTCATACACACCTTTCATACACACCTGTCATACACACCTGTCATACATATGCTGGTAAGTCCTGTCTAAGGTACTACCAGGTGTGTGTGTATCTGGGAAAGGCGCCCCCTGACGACCCCCCCCCCCCCCCGTCCCTGGTGGAGGGACTGGGGACATCCGGCTGGGGACATCCGGGTAGGGACATCCGGCTAGGGACATTCGGCTGGGGACATCCGGCTGGGGACATCCGGCTGGAGACATCCGGCTGGAGACATCCGGCTGGGGACATCCGGCTGGGGACATCCGGCTGGGGACATCCGGCTGGAGACATCCGGCTGGGGACATCCGGCTGGGGACATCGCTTCATGACCTGCTGTGAGGAGGTACGAAGCCCCGTAATCTGATTATATAGTCACAGCCCATTACCGGGTAAGGGAAGCCCAACCGGTTCTGTCTCCACCGGTATAACGGTCAAAGATGCTTGCCTCTTTCCCCCGACCTAGAGGCAAGATGGCTGCTTCTTGTGGTTCTGATCACCCGTTGAGCGGCGATCAGAACACGCAAGCTCTCTCTCATGACCTGATTGCAGAGGTGACACAGGTTCCAGGTTGATGCTATTGGCTCCAGTGGCCACCGGCGCAATCAGGAGTGCCTCGAAGCATCAGTTGAAATCTGGTCTACCGACGATATGTATCGCCCGGGAAAGGATTAGCCAATCGGACGAGGGGAGTGCTGAGGGCTTCTTGAATTGGCGGAAGCGAATATGCCATCAGGGCGACATAAGAGCGCCCTCGGTGCAGTTTGCGGAGGTATGTCAATTTGCAACACATTGATCAGCATGTCAATTTGCAACACATTGATCAGCATGTCAATTTGCAACACGTCGATCAACACCTTCGCGCCCGACTTTCAGTCTTTCATTCTCGCAACACTGTCCTGGGAGCTTGTCTGTCGGTCTATGGATATAACGTCGATGTTTGGCTTAAATACTATCAACCACCCCCACCGGGCTGGGTTGGGCCTGCGGGCCGCTCCAAGCAACAGCCTGGTGGACCAAACTCTCACAAGTCAGGCCTGGCCTCGGGCCGGGCTTGGGGAGTTGAAGAGCTCCCAGAACCCCATCAACCAGGTATATAATACTCTCCAAAACCAAATAAACTCTTCTGATTGTAATAATATGTATTTCCTCGATTCCCAATCTTTCACGAATCATTTATCTTGCTACACAAAAAGTACTTCCTCATAAATAACATATATATGATATTTAACATTATTTTCCCACAAAATAAATGACAGACACAGGAAAACAAGACTGATCACAACAATCTCATTTCCTGATGCAAAACAGCCTTAAAAACTAATTAAATTATGCATGTATAAGTCTAAAGGCTTAACTATTAACTCTACTTTTAACAAGCCGCAGTTAACACGAGGGAAATACACTATTCTTTCCAATAATGAGGTGAGGAAGAGTGTCGATCACTCCAGGGTTCGAGGTTTTTGTCCCTAAACTTCCAGCTGGTGGCCATTTTCCTGTTCAGTCTTTTTCCTCAGGAAGCTGTAAACTTTTCTTCATCTCTAATTCAAAAGTTAATCAATAAACTTTCTTGACTGCATCACTCACCACTTTTTGTACACTTTATAGAAGATGCCTCAACAGTGGCATAGCCAATAGTGCCTCCAATAGAAGCATAGCTAGCAGTACCTCCAACAGTGGCATAGCCAATAGTGCTTCCAATAGAGGCATAGCCAATAGTGCTTCCAATAGAGGCATAGCCAGCAGTGCTTCCAATAGAGGCATAGCTAGCAGTACCTCCAACAGTGGCATAGCCAATAGTGCTTCCAATTGAAGCATAGATAGAAGTACCTCCAACAGTGGCATAGCCAATAGTGCTTCCAATAGAGGCATAGCTAGCAGTACCTCCAGCAGTGGCATAGCCAATAGTACCTCCAATAGAAGCATAGCTAGCAGTGCCTCCAACAATGGCATAGCCAGCAGTGCCTCCAATAGAAGCATAGCTAGCAGTATCTCCAACAGTGGCATAGCCAGCAGTGCCTCCAATAGAAGCATAGCTAGCAGTATCTCCAACAGTGGCATAGCCAGCAGTGCCTCCAATAGAAGCATAGCTAGCAGTACCTCCAACAGTGGCATAGCCAGCAGTGCCTCCAATAGAAGCATAGCTAGCAGTACCTCCAACAGTGGCATAGCCAGCTGTGTAATAGTCCACTTGTTCTAGGTTATGCCTGGTTCACCTTCAGCCTGTGATATAAACACTCCCTAAATCACCATAACCAAACACCTTACCAAACCTAACCTAGACCTAACTATACATAAACCCACAATATATAATATTAAGTTACACATCAAGAAAAAAACGTTTTATATTGCAGAAAGCTTCATCTATCAGTTGATTGCCAGCGTAATAAGTCATAAACTGACTTTGATAACTCAGTGAGCACCAAGTCAGTATTTGACTTAATGCTTAAACTGGAGGATAGGTTGAATTCAATAGTGAATAATGAATAATAATAATATTAACATTAATGGTGATAATAACTGGAATCACTTACTGCCCAACACACTCCTCCTCTGGGTTTAGCGGAAAGCACTAGACCTTCTAAATGATCATTTAACATGGTCAAAACTCCCATCTTTTTCCGTGGTCAAAACCTCAGCCCTTTACATGGTCAAAACTCCCACCTTTTAAAATCTTGAAAGAACATCATCAATTTAGGACAGAACTGGGAAAAAAACAAGTTGCATTTTTTTTTCCAGCGTTCACTAATTAGCGGGAAGTTTTAATTTCTGGGAGAGAGTGCTTGGTGCGTACCGAACCAGAGTCGGTCCGTTGTGACGGGGTTGGGGTCGAGGTCTGTGAGTACACACTAAACAACTCTTCTTAGTAACAAACACACAAACAAACAAGCAAACAAGCAAACAAGCAAGACAAGACGAGAGGCATATTTCAATTATGATTTTACAGAGAAAGACAAAAAAATTAAAAAATCCATTTTGTCCACAATTTCACTTCACAACTGATGGTCGCAGTTATCTACAGACAGTTACAGGTCATCAATGATTGTTACAAGTCATCAATGATTGTCTCAAGTCATCAATGATTGTTACAAGTCATCAATGATTGTCACAAGTCATCAATGATTGTCTCAAGTCATCAATGATTGTCTCAAGTCATCAATGATTGTCACAAGTCATCAATGATTGTCACGAGTCATCAATGATTGTTACAAGTCATCAATGATTGTCTCAAGTCATCAATGATTGTCTCAAGTCACGAATGATTGTCTCAAGTCATCAATGATTGTAACAATTCACAGCCAATCACACTGCTCATCAACCTCACTGTTATCAGAAACACACTACTCTGTATGTCCTGTATGACCTGTATGCCCTGTATGTCCTGTATGACCTGTATGCCCTGTATGCCCTGCATGTTCTGTATGACCTGTATGTCCTGTATGTCCTGTATGACCTGTATGCCCTGTATGCCCTGCATGTTCTGTATGACCTGTATGTCCTGTATGTCCTGTATGACCTGTATGCCCTGTATGCCCTGTATGCCCTGCATGTTCTGTATGACCTGTATGTCCTGTATGTCCTGTATGACCTGTATGCCCTGTATGCCCTGCATGTTCTGTATGACCTGTATGTCCTGTATGACCTGTATGCCCTGCATGTTCTGTATGACCTGTATGTCCTGTATGACCTGTATGCCCTGCATGTTCTGTATGACCTCTATGTCCTGTATGACCTGTATGCCCTGCATGTTCTGTATGACCTGTATGTCCTGTATGACCTGTATGCCCTGCATGTTCTGTATGCCCTGTATGTCCTGTATGACCTGTATGCCCTGCATGTTCTGTATGACCTGTATGTCCTGTATGACCTGTATGCCCTGCATGTTCTGTATGACCTGTATGTCCTGTATGACCTGTATGCCCTGCATGTTCTGTATGCCCTGTATGTCCTGTATGACCTGTATGCCCTGCATGTTCTGTATGACCTGTATGTCCTGTATGACCTGTATGCCCTGCATGTCCTGTATGACCTGTATGTCCTGTATGACCTGTATGCCCTGCATGTTCTGTATGACCTGTATGTCCTGTATGACCTGTATGCCCTGCATGTTCTGTATGACCTGTATGCCCTGTATGTCCTGTATGACCTGTATGCCCTGCATGTTCTGTATGACCTGTATGTCCTGTATGACCTGTATGCCCTGCATGTCCTGTATGACCTGTATGTCCTGTATGACCTGTATGCCCTGCATGTTCTGTATGACCTGTATGTCCTGTATGACCTGTATGCCCTGCATGTTCTGTATGACCTGTATGCCCTGTATGTCCTGTATGACCTGTATGCCCTGCATGTTCTGTATGACCTGTATGTCCTGTATGACCTGTATGCCCTGCATGTCCTGTATGACCTGTATGTCCTGTATGACCTGTATGCCCTGCATGTTCTGTATGACCTGTATGTCCTGTATGACCTGTATGCCCTGTATGCCCTGCATGTTCTGTATGACCTGTATGTCCTGTATGACCTGTATGCCCTGCATGTTCTGTATGCCCTGTATGACCTGTATGACCTGTATGACCTGTATGTCCTGTATGACCTGTATGCCCTGCATGTTCTGTATGACCTGTATGACCTGTATGACCTGTATGCCCTGCATGTTCTGTATGCCCTGTATGTCCTGTATGACCTGTATGCCCTGTATGTCCTGTATGCCCTGTATGTCCTGTATGACCTGTATGCCCTGTATGCCCTGCATGTCCTGTATGACCTGTATGTCCTGTATGACCTGTATGACCTGTATGTCCTGTATGACCTGTATGCCCTGCATGTTCTGTATGACCTGTATGACCTGTATGCCCTGCATGTTCTGTATGACCTGTATGTCCTGTATGACCTGTATGCCCTGCATGTCCTGTATGACCTGTATGCCCTGCATGTTCTGTATGACCTGTATGCCCTGCATGTTCTGTATGACCTGTATGCCCTGCATGTTCTGTATGACCTGTATGCCCTGCATGTTCTGTATGACCTGTATGTCCTGTATGACCTGTATGCCCTGCATGTCCTGTATGACCTGTATGCCCTGCATGTTCTGTATGACCTGTATGCCCTGCATGTTCTGTATGACCTGTATGCCCTGCATGTTCTGTATGCCCTGTATGTCCTGTATGACCTGTATGCCCTGCATGTCCTGTATGACCTGTATGCCCTGCATGTCCTGTATGACCTGTATGCCCTGCATGTTCTGTATGACCTGTATGCCCTGCATGTTCTGTATGACCTGTATGCCCTGCATGTTCTGTATGCCCTGTATGTCCTGTATGACCTGTATGCCCTGCATGTCCTGTATGACCTGTATGCCCTGCATGTCCTGTATGACCTGTATGCCCTGCATGTTCTGTATGACCTGTATGCCCTGCATGTTCTGTATGACCTGTATGCCCTGCATGTTCTGTATGCCCTGCATGTCCTGTATGACCTGTATGCCCTGCATGTCCTGTATGACCTGTATGCCCTGCATGTCCTGTATGACCTGTATGCCCTGCATGTCCTGTATGACCTGTATGCCCTGCATGTTCTGTATGACCTGTATGCCCTGCATGTTCTGTATGACCTGTATGCCCTGCATGTTCTGTATGCCCTGCATGTCCTGTATGACCTGTATGTCCTGTATGACCTGTATGCCCTGTATGCCCTGCATGTCCTGTATGACCTGTATGTCCTGTATGACCTGTATGACCTGTATGTCCTGTATGACCTGTATGCCCTGCATGTTCTGTATGACCTGTATGACCTGTATGCCCTGCATGTTCTGTATGACCTGTATGTCCTGTATGACCTGTATGCCCTGCATGTCCTGTATGACCTGTATGCCCTGCATGTTCTGTATGACCTGTATGCCCTGCATGTTCTGTATGACCTGTATGCCCTGCATGTTCTGTATGACCTGTATGCCCTGCATGTTCTGTATGACCTGTATGCCCTGCATGTTCTGTATGACCTGTATGTCCTGTATGACCTGTATGCCCTGCATGTTCTGTATGACCTGTATGCCCTGCATGTTCTGTATGACCTGTATGCCCTGCATGTTCTGTATGCCCTGTATGCCCTGCATGTTCTGTATGCCCTGTATATCCTGTCCTTGCCATTAACAAGGATAGACGTAACTGCCAAATTATACACAACATGAATGAAAAAAATATCAATATTTTTCCTCTATTGGAAGAGTTGTAACTACTTATCGAGACCTGAGAGAGGATGGGAGAGGATGGGAGAGGATGGGAGAGAGCGGATGGTGGGATGGGTAGTGAGAAGGAGGGATAGGTGGTGGTTGTAGTAGAGAGGATGGAGGGTTGGTTATTGGTGCAAGAGAGACAGGGGGGAATAGTCCTGTGGAAAATTTGCTCAGTTCTATATACAAATATACAAGATATAGCCAACATGATTTGTAAACAATTATCTGTTTCAAAATTACCTCATTGTGTGTAAATTTAGCGAGACTTGATCTCTTGTTGAGAGATTAACGACAATAGTTAATAAATAATAATAATATTAAATGTATATTTAGGTAAGGTACATACATACAAGAGATATTACAAACATTGATGGATTTATAGATAAGAGCTAGTACATACAGTGCCTAAAGCTACTATTTGCTATCTTTACTGAAATAACTTGTAATCAACGCATTTTTTTTCTTAGCCTGATACTATAAGAATTATATTCTGTAGATGCTAGTGATATTCACTCGCTGTCTCATATCTTCTCCGGCAACTTCTTATCCTGTTAGCGTCTCAACATTTTTATTAAAGACTTTTATTTCGTTCCTTAGGCTGTGGGTGTGTGTGTGTGTGTGTGTGTGTGTGTGTGTGTGTGTGTGTGTGTGTGTGTGTGTGTGTGTGTGTGTGTGTGTGTGTGTGTGTGTGTGTGTGTGTGTGTGTGTGTACTCACCTAGTTGTACTCACCTAGTTGTGCTTGCGGGGGTTGAGCTCTGGCTCTTTGGTCCCGCCTCTCAACTGTCAATCAACAGGTGTACAGGTTCCTGAGCCTATTGGGCTCTATCATATCTACACTTGAAACTGTGTATGGAGTCAGCCTCCACCACATCACTTCCTAATGCATTCCATTTGTCAACCACTCTGACACTAAAAAAGTTCTTTCTAATATCTCTGTGG